CCGATATACTAACTACAGTCGACTCTGGTTATAACGAACCTGTTTGTACCGAAACCTCGCTATACCGAATCATAATTTCCAGAACCGATTTTTTATAAATAATTTCACTGGATATAACGAACTTTTATAATAAAACACTATATAACGCATCCGAACCAAACTTAACCAGCCCTATATATCAGCTATATAATAACTTTATACTTTCTATAACGAACGGTCATGTAACTATATAGTAGTCCAGGCCAATTTTATAGTGCTGGCCAGAATTACTAGTAATTTTTTCGAAAATTTATGTTAAAAGAAATTATAATTTTGGCCAGCATTACAAATTTGGCCTAAATTACCTATAAAGAAAACTAGTTCGGTATATTATATAACTATATACCGAACTAAACCTCCTGGAACGGAGGGTTCGTTATATCCAGAGTTGACTGTATGACTCAAAGAACATACAGTATAAATATTATATCATTCTCACGCCACACAACCCAAATCACCCATATGGAGACTATTCTAAATGTCAGACAAATTTTTTGTTATATAGATTGTTAAAAACAATCCTTATTAAAACTGCTGGTTATAAAAAAAGAATTAAAATAAAAAATGATCCAACCCGATTATTTTGAAAGATCACATGAATCGACCCATCTGGGAACAATCCGGGATCAATGAAAATAGAAATAATTGATCAAATCACTTTTAAAATAGAGAACTTATCAAAAATATTTGAGTCTTGAGATACCATTTTCATCTAAAATTTAGAAATCATTTATGTAACACGTTAAATTTATACTGTATCTGTGTACCGTTAAAACAAATGATAATAGTAAAAATTATTTTTATTTTCTTGTCGTAAAAAATTTATATTTCGCGTATTTTGCGTCTAAACAGTCCAAAAATTATTTTAATATACTTATTGATTTGAATGTTCATTTCTTGAATTTTCAAGGTTGTACCATTCTATAGATTAGATTTAAAGTATCAAAGCAATACCGATTACTAAAGAATTTTGGCTTTAAACTTTATGTTTATAATGTTTATTATTTTCAAAATTAAATTACATCGTGTGGTGCTTGAAATTTAGATAAATTTAAGATTCAATCCGCCTATAATCGACAGAAAATTACTATATAAATTCGGGGGAAATTTTATTGCAAAAAATAAACTAAATAGGCAAAATTTTGCCAATCAAAATCATCACAAATCATGTTGTGATACCAAGTCATGTGATGAAACTTAAAAATGCCAAGAAAAATATCGAGAAAAATATTTTCACATAGAAACTCACAATAAACGCTAAAATCTGACACCTACCGTGTCTTAAATATTCATTTATTCAGTAAAATTGCTTCACGCATGAAAATTACTCAAATATTATTGTCAAAGGGATGGTTTTTTGGCTAAAAACAAGCGTAACTAACGTACAAATAGAAAAGATCTAAAAATGAAAAATTCAACCTAAAATAACCTATCTGCTATATAAATCCTTCTAAAAGCCATTATTACCTATTGTTCTGGTAATTGTATGTTATTTTTTTTTATATTATTGTTACAACACTTTCAAAAAGCTAATAATATTTTGCAAACTAATGCTAAGAGTTTGTGTGATGCACTCAAATTGAAAAACTAGATAAGAATACATATACCAAAACTTCCACCATTTGAAATTAATTTACGGGTTACTCCTCATGAAAATAGAAAGAGATCATAGTAACATGTGAACTAAAAGCAAGAGAAAATATTAGAATTATATAAAACAAGTAGTTTCAAACATATAAAATACATGAGAACATAATTTTAAGTGTTCATATATGTTAAAATAACGTAATATACGACTTGAAATTCTCACATATATATATATACATACCTGTCAAATCTGACGCTGCCTCAAAGTAAAGTTTTGAACAAATAAATAAATTTCTCAATTTTTTTTTATTTTTTTCATCTTTGACATTTAAGGAATCATCATGTGAATTTTGGTGCCACAGCATGATGATCTGCTGTTTTTATAGCCCATAAAATTTAGCCAATTTTGGCATTTTTATAATAACCTCGCCCCGAATTTATATAGTAATTTTCTGTCGTTCGTAGGCGGATCGGCTCTTAACGACTTTTGTTTAATGTTGCTTAAAATATCAATAATTAAAAAATACAATTTGTTAATAACATAAAAAAATTTATATACTTTAGGAATCTTCAAATAATAATTTTGGTGAATTATTTTTTATCCTTACTACTACTCGAGTCTATTCCACATCATATCAGAATCTTAAACCAATATTCAAGCAACTTCATAATAAAATATTTGATGAATTTGAGTAGGGAGTGTGAATATATAACCACCAGCAGTTTTATGTATGTCACGAAGAACAAAAATGACATGACCATGAGTATGATGATGTAGTGCTAAAAAAAAAGAAATTCATTAATTCGTTAATTTAATATAATCTTCCCACTATTCGGTTAAAGAGACTCCATAGGTCTCTATCAAGTTATCCAACTTTTCTCCGAAGTCACAGTTCACCGAAACCCATTTCGCCGAAGGGATGTTTCACCGAAGTGCCATTTCGCCGATATTTTATCGAATGGCCATTTTTGTTTAAGATATGAAATTTTTTAATTTTCCTTTTTTTAGAGAAGGTAAACGAATTTTATTTTAAATCGCGTTTGTTTATTTTCTAATTAAAAGAAAATTTGTTTTATTTGACAAATTCATCTGTGTTCATCAATTTTTCGAAACAATGGAAAATAAAATAGTTAAAGAGAATTTGTTCTTTGAACAATTTTTATTTCTTTGTATCGAATTTATCAAATGGTTAATGATCAACTGTTAAAGGAAATATTATATTAATCAAAAACATTTTCAGCGAAATGTTCTTCGATGAAATGGAAGTTTTGGGGGAAAGGATTCTGCAAAACGTACCGTAACCCTTTATCAATACTATCAGATGTGGTTTTATGTCATTCTTGTCTTAAAAGGCAAGATATAAAGACAACGTTCATCCAATAGATTGGAACAAATAAAGTTGCGTTAATTGCATTCTCATTTAATGCTTGAGTTAAATAAGGAATAAATGCTGCGAACGATAATTAATTCTCAAAGAAATTCTGTCATAATTTTAAAATAAGAAAAAGATGTATAATATTGTAAAATATTCTTGGAAATTCGAAAATAAAACAGTGAGCTCTGAACTCCCTTTATAACAAATTTTTCCCAACACATGGTATTTAGCCAATCAAATATAGTACATTAAATACCCTTCAGACAATTAAATGTCTTAAATTCTTCGCAATAATCCTATAGCAAATTTGCGTGAAAACCGGAGGGTACGTCATGACTATACATAACTTCCTGTTGGTTTTCTTCCTGTTCATCTGCTAGTAAAATTTGGTTTAAGCCAAGTTTCAACTATTTCCTTCGTATTATCATTGTTTGTGAGCATATTTCTAAAGTTAAAACATTTGAATTATTAATTCCGCGAGAATCAAAAGTAGTTTTTAACATCTTTACGTGAAGAAGCACAAACTATACTCCAGGTTTTTCTATGCGAAACAATTTTCAAATTAAAAAATGAAAGAAAAATTTACGAAAATTTAGTAATTTAAATTGAATAAATTCATACGATTCCAGTACCACAAACTAAAACTCCTTTTCTTTTTTGTTTCTTTTTTTGTTATTAACTAATGGTGCAAATAGATTTTAATATTATTTTTTTTGTAATAATTAATTTTGTGTAAAATCAAGTCCTTAGGGGATAACTTTGATTAATGGATTAATGACCAAAAAAAATAAATTTTTACAAATTTTATCATTACTGCACAAGAAATATAACCGAGTTTATTTAAAGAATTATATTATTCACTGTATTCAATCCACACAACAAAAAAGGATGACAATTTGGAAGAGCTGTTGAGCGTAATGCAGGAGAATTAAAATTATTTTTATAATAACTTCTGAAAAGATCACGGGGGATAGCTTCTGTGGAAAGTCTCCAGAAATTCATTTGAGAATGTGAAAATAATTCATATAAAATATGAATTAATCATTATAGTTATATGATCTTATTAATATATTTTTTATTAATATAAGATACCATTTTCAATAAATTAAAATTTTTGGGTTATTATTATAGAGAAATAAAAAAATTTTAAATTTTACATTTTTTTATTGCAAAATCAATTACAAAATCAATAAAACTCAATAAATTTAGAATTTATAAAAATCTAAACTACCAAAAAAGTTTAGACTGTGTTAAAGTCTTATATGATTATATTTATTATAAGAAATATGAATTTTTACTATACTAGTTTCAATATTTTTTTTGTAATACATAAAATTATAACTTTCAATTTCAATTTTACATTACAGCTCTTTATGCTTAAAAACTAAAACTTATGTAATTTTTTTTTAAAAAAACCGACATCAATATCATCAGTTCTTAAAATAAAATATAAAAAAATAATTTTATTTTTAATTTTATACATTAGAAATGGATTTATATGCTTGTATTATATTAATAGTTTATATTTAATAATTGGAAAAGTTATAAAAAAAAAGATTTATTTAAATTACAAACTAAGAAATTTATAAATATTTACTACTCTAACCTCAGTGTTTAAATAAATCTTAATATTTGGATAAAATATAAAAAATGGGAATTATTTAAATTACAAACTAAGAATCTTGTAAAATATTTTACTATTCTAGCCTTAGTGTTTAAATAAATTTAAAAAGAATAAAATAAAATCAATTTCTGCTGAATGCAGTAATATCACTTATTAAAAAACTAAATAATATCTAAATAATAAATAAATAAAATTAATTTTGCATAAATAATTTGTAAAATTGATTTTGTTTATATATTATATTACATACCAAATGACTTAAATTCTTCACTTACTAGCATTTCACTCACTTATACACTAATAACTTGTGATTCAAGAATTTCATTCAATTTTTTACTAGTAAGATCAAGTAAGCGACTTGTATAATATGCTTGTGAATGAGATTCAGTAGCAAAATTGGTATGCCCAATTGGTGCATTTATAAATTCCATAACACTACATTTTAATTCTTCATTAATATCTTCAATATTCATTTTGTAAGGGATATAAGCCCATTTTTTAATAATATCCGAAACTTCTTCAGAAGATGGCCTTTTAGATGGATTTTTATCCCAACATTTTTTCATCAAGTCTACATAACATTGTGGAGTATTTTCAATAATTTCAGGACGTTCACCTTTACAAATATTTAAACAAAGTTGTAGATCATGTGCTTTATCATTAAATGTTGACACTCCAGATGTAAATTCCCACATAATCATAGAAAAACTATATATATCACTAGCTGGAGTATAAGAATTTCCTCTTAAAACTTTAGGTGCTATAAATGGTAAAACACCAAAAATGTCACCTTTTTTTGAAGATGATTTTACAGGTTCTAAATTACTAATATAAATTTTATCTGCTTTAATCTCTTCTTTCACTTTATCATTATAATTTAAAATATTGCCATCATGAAGATCACAATGAACAAGATTATTTTTATGTATCTGATTAAGTCCAGTAATAATTTCATATCATATATAATTTTTGGTTCCAATTCTTTTTGACTATTCTCATTAAATTTTCTCTTAAATTACCTTTATTTGCATATTCCATTACTACCATATATTTTGAAGTATCTGGATTTTTTGTAAATCCATATAAATCAATAATACTATATGAACTTTTTGGATATTTCCACTATAAAAAAAAATAATAATATATTAGTATAAATAACAATTTAAATGATAAAATTAAATCAAAAATAAATATAAATAATAATATATTATACTTCATTTAAAAATTCATTTAAATTATCATTTAAATTATTATGATATTTAAGAATTACTTCTTCATCTTCGTCAATAGTTAATAAAGGAGGATCTGGTACTACATACAAAGCTATTTTATCAAGATATTTAACATTTTTAAATTTATTATAAGGAAACCATTTTAAATTATTTTTTTCAATAACTTTATCAATAATTACATTTCCACTTTTTCCGAATCTATAATTAAAATTATATTAAAATTTATATTGAAATTTACATTAAAATTTAAAATTAAAAATTAACACTTACTCTAAAATTTAAATAGGAATTTAATATAATATAAATCTTGGTATTGAATAAGTATATATAATAACCTATAATTCACAACTTACCAACTAAAGGAATAGATATTTTTAAATGAAAGAATTCAGTTAACAAATAAATATTATATAAAATATATAATAAAATGAAATAACAACATTGCAGAAATTTTTATAATCGAAACCATATCGTGATTCGTGACTAAGTCAAAAATTTATTGTAGACCTTATAACCAAGATTTGGCCACAATATGGTTTCACATCATCACGATAAGCTTAAGTTGATCGTATGTATAAAGTTGATGCATATTAAGGAGATCGTCACCTGATTTAACCGGGTCATACAAATATCGTATCGAGATTAGTCACGTTATATTCAATATATATTAGAAATATATTAAAGTCGTATTTAATATATATAAAAGTTATATTTAATGCATATAAAAGTCATATTTAATGTATCGTAAATTTGTTTTTACTTTATATTTAACATATCGTGAAGTTGCATTTAATTTATATATAAATTATATTTAACGTATCGTAATATTGCATTTGATTTATATAAAAGTTATATTTAACATATCGTAAAATTGTATTTAAAGATCAAATTAATTTTTATTTTCAATGTCGCAAATAAATCATAAAAACTCTATTCTAAATCCAAGTTTGTTGTTCTAAATCATGAATAAAATGAATTTTTTTATGAACGGTGATTAATAAACAAATAATAAACATCAAACGGCTTTGAAAAAATATAAGTTTCGTATATACAAATCATTGCTAGAATTGTGATCGCTGTCGATACATTCTTCGCCTCTACAATTGTGAATGAAATGCATGACGTTAATCGCATTCACTAAACAGATAGAGAAAACCCTTCGCAAATTAGCATTTGTTGTTTGTAACCTGTATACTGGACAGCCTAGTATAGTTCGATTTGTTTCCTCAAACCAATCAACGACAACAAATGCAAATCGAAGGTTGTCCTTTTGATGACAAAATATCGCTCTTATAATTGCAAAATTGCCTCCATTTTCGATATTGATTGATACAACATCCCGATACGTAAACGGCGTAGAATAGTATTATCTCTTTCATTTTCAAAGATAAAACTCGCATACTCAAAGAATAATGGCATGCTGTTAGGTATTGCAGAGTTGTCTCTGAAATCTTCGTATGCCAGTTTCAATTCTTCATTGATATTCACCAGTAGTGGCATTTCAACGTTTCTTCGAAGTACCCATTTCTTTAACAATATATTAGAAATCCGATCATCTGGCGAGCAAACTTTACATACTAAGAGTTAGCAAATTTCATATTTCAATATATATTTTTCGTATTATAATATTAAATTGTACCTTCTTCTGCATCGTTCTTAATATCAACATTATCTTTCGTAATGAACCAATTGCTCATCAATCGTCGCAAATGTTTTGGTAAATTCATAAATCCACCGTTTGATGTAGATAATCTCAGATCTATGCCACCATCTAATAAATGCCGTATCGCAAACAAGGTGGTGTAATGCTTTAGTAAATCTAAACTCACTTTTTTCAGATTCGTTCGGGGTACAATTTTTTTGAATATCCGATTTATCATCTCCTTTGTTTCAGCATTAGTGTTCAATAATGTCGCGTAATTCTTTGCATGCAATAGCAGATGGAAGTTGGTATGTAGATTCGGTAAATTTTCAAAATCTTTGAATGCCTATTTGTAAATAATTGAAAATAATTAGACTTTGCTGTGTAATATTATTATAAATAAATAAAGAATGGTTATAGTTATATATAAATTTCGAATGCATTTTTTTTTGTTTTCTTGACTTTCATCGATTTTTGCGTTTGATTTTTGCGTCCTATTTGCGATATGTATTACCTAATACTAGTTAGTGTTATAATTTAAAGAATAATACCTGCGATAAAAGCACTCGTTCATTACATAAGCATTCGCGCAATTCGGAATATTCTTCTTTTGTAAAAGAATCTTTAAAAACCATTGCCATCATTTTTGCCATTACGACCCAACATTTCAACCAAAGTTTGATGGCTAAATCGCTTCTAGTAACTCCTGTTCGACGTTGAAACAAGGCAAGTTCCGAATTTTTGAAATGTGTATTCCTCAAGAACCTATTGAGGATAAATGGAATCATCATGGTTAATTCTAGACAGTCCGACATCATGAAACTGTCGATGTGGGATATCGGATTTGGCAATTTTCGCCAAGTCTTCGGGTATTCAAAATACTTCCAGTTCCTAATGAATTCTGATTTTCCTTTTGGCGAAAGTGCTTCAATTGTGATCTTGAAAAGTCTTGGCGCTTTTCCAGCTGTAAGGTGGTAGACATCCTGGGGAGACTGTAAGTGTCTTTCCCTTTTCAATTGATCAAGTAAAGGCGGATATAATTGTAGGCCAAATTCGGACGCAATTGCTTTGCGTTCTGTAATCGTTGACGCCTCAGATATCTCTTTGAATTGTTTATCTGACAGATGATGATAACGAGAGATTAAGTGTAAATCAAGATCGTTGGATGTTAAAGATTCTTTTGTTACATTGCATGTCTGGTATCCTCTATTAGCGCTGTGTCGCTTTACTCCAGCCATATCATTGCCTTGCGGCAAATCGGCAGTAGTATCACCAAGGCTTGCAATTATGACGCATTTGTTCCCTTGAATATTCAAAATCTTTCCTCTCTCCAATACTTTCATTTCTGTAATGAAGGGTTTGATAAATTTGTCGAAAGAACCACCGAAAGGAACAAATCCTAGAACAAAATGGTTCTTAAGACGATTTCTTTCAGTAAAAAGCATGTTACCTATTTGAACGTAAACGCCACCTAAAGAATGATAGATGTTTCTGAATGTCCCAAAGTCATCGTAATACAGATCAATGAATAATTTGTAGATTGGAAGATGTGTTTCTGGTTCATCTAATGGCGCGAATTCCGAAGGATGTTGATATGAATACTTGACATCTCTTAGCTTCCAGCGTCCATTGTACTTGTAGAGAATTTCCTGAATTTTAATTGAATGTCTATTATTACTATTATCATAATGAATAGTAATCGGTGCGTGGCTAACAATCGCGTGCAATTCGACATTCATGACCGCATCTTCCATTTCTCAATCAAGAAACCAGACTTCATTATCCTGCGATCTTTCTTTGCGATTGTTGCTTTGGAGGTTCCCTGGTAACTCTTCGAATCTTATAATACGTTAGATCTTAATTATCAGTCTGTCATCTTTTTGCACAATCGCAATATACGGCCGAATCTTTTCGCATCGCTTGATTCTCTGTATACTACAAAATCCCCAGAGTAATACACATGTTGAGCAATTGTGATAGACGTTTTACCAAACCTTGCCGATTCTTTCCAAATATCACCGTGCCAGAGTTCTTTGTTTTTTGTGACTTCTTGGCCGGGTCCGAAGTACATGTTGCTAAATAATAAAGGATTATTCAAAATGTTACAAATGATATCCGTAATGGATAAATAATACGCCTCTCCGATGTTTTTAGACGTTGATAGCATTTTCATGTTAGTAATATTGATTTTTCGAGATCTTATTGGGAGTAGAGGTAGTCTCTATCTATCTTTCCTGAATCGTCGGCTATTTGGCACAACGTCTTCTTTTCTGAACTGTGGATTATAGATTATATCAACTAGTTCATCATATGCTTGGGTAGCTGGTGAAGAATTACCGTAAGTTATTGTTATATTTTCATTAATAAGCCTTAAAAGAATATAACTTACATATGTGATGTTTCTGCATCCAACAAAAAAACAGCGATTCAGTGACATTCTTGAAATATGGGGCGAACTCACCAGAGGAATATGAAAGTTGTTCGCTACTAAGAGGTTGATCAACGATTACTTCTTCATCCGGTTGATCAATGATTACTTCTTCATCTGAATCCCTCCTCTTTCATTTTCATCTTCGTCGTTTTCATTAAATTCCATCATTATTCTTTCATATTCACTTTCGAGCTCATCTTCGCTTATTTCTTCATTTTCTATATCGATAGTTGTTGTCATTTCTTCATCTTCGTCATCATAATTTTCCATTTCGGTACTACCATCATTTCTAGTAGTAGCCATAACATCTTCTAGAAATTATAAATATCACTGAAAAATATACATTCAAATATAAATTATAATAACAAAGTAACATTATTTACCATCTGTTATGAAAGTTCTTTCGTTCGTTACTGAAGGTACTTGTGAAATTATATTAAATGTGTTATACCATTGTCTAACATAGCTACGTTGATTATTAGAAGCATATCGATTTCGAAACATTTTTAAAAACGTGACACGACACGCAAGATTTTATTGAAAAAAGTATACAAGAAAAACAATTCAAGAAAAAGGATTCGAATAAAGGTCAAAGAGAAAGTTTGTTAAAATATCACTTAAAAATAAAATCAATCACTTAAAGATAATCAATTAAAAATATCACTTAAATTTATTTTATAGCTAGAACATTTTCGATATATTAATTTATACTCATTTTTCCTAGTATTTAAGAAATTTAAAAAATATTTAAAAAATACTCAAAAAATTAAAGTATATTACAATTATGAATTTAATAATATACATTTTATAAAATTCGTTCTATAATCTATATAATTGCTTATCTATCGCTTGGAGGCCAGAGTAAACTATCGTGTATATTTCTATTTATGGAATTAGACTCATTATTATAAAAGTCTAATTTGTATTCGCATTTTTATAAAAGTCTAATTTACTATTGTTTCATTATCTATAAGTCTAAATAATTAAACTATTTGTTATTGTTCTAATTTATCGATTTGATTGTAATGCCAGAATTTATCTAATGAATTTATTAAATGTGGGCGTAGTATTATAATTAGTTTAGATATTTTGAAATTTTTATTTGATTATGAAATGACGTCCTGGCATATAACATTAAACTGTACCATATAATCTGATTTATTATATTATAGTTCTTGTAATATTTATTTTATTTTATTTTTTTATTATTATCTGAACTACGGAATGATGTACATTATGACAATGACATCGGAATTAAATAATTTAATAGAAAGGATAATTTCTGTAGAGGAACGGATTTGAGATAATGAAAAAGGAAATTAATTGTAACAAGATGAAAGTGACTCGGCCCAAAATAACTAAATTGAGTAAAAAGGGCATCGTTTGGATCGAGTAACTTAAAAGTTATAAAAGGAGTTAATAAAATTGGGCGTAGTATTTCAGAAGCATATGGGGAAAATTTTGATAATAATAGTAAGAATTATTTTATTAAGGATTTATTTGTTCCGATATTATTTTATTAATGGATTAATAAGAATGAAATGCGAAGTATTATTTTATTAAGGGAAACTATCGAAGTTGATTTTAGGATTAATAATTGGAAGATTTTATTAATGAAAAAGGAAGATTTGAAATTTTGAATATAGAAGTATATTTTTATTATTAGAATTATGATGTTTTAATTGTTTTATATTTATTTTGTATATTATTTTGTCTAACTAAGCGTGAACTCGGGATATATTAATAATTTAATATTGTATATTTTATTATTAAGAATTTTGTGTGGCGTGAATAAAATCTATGATGATCTATGCCTGAGCTGGGTCTGGATCACGTTGCGACTAATTATTTAAAAGAAGATCAGAGAAAAAAAAATTAATTAAATTTCAACGATATGTTAAATATATAAATATTACACCATATTATCGAAAACCAAAATAAATATTATCAATAGGTGTTATATTATTATTTACTGCCAATTATAGCTTATAGGAGTAGTCTGATTATTAATAGTCTATAAAAGTCTAGTCTATAAAAGTCTAATTATTAAAATTTCTACTTCGCCATAGCAAAACAATCAAACAATCACAATAAAGTTTAATTGTTTTATTATTTAGAGAAACAATTTCTTTTTTTTTTATAAACCCTTTCTCTTTCTCTGTTATTATTTTTCTCTAGTCTTCTTATCATTATCATGCCTTCCAGAAGAAGTACTACCCGAAGTTAAAAGAAAAAACAAATTATTCCTGTTGACGAAGATGATGTTGTCAGAACTTCAAGTAATTCTCGTATCCTATAATAAACTGAAATTGTATCAGATTTTTAACTTTCTCTTTAGTTCTGAAAGAAAATCAAGGACCGGAAGCGATTCAAACCTAAAAACCCCCTGCTAAAAGATGAGGTCGAAAGAAAAAGGATCCTGTTATTGAAGATAATGAACATATACACGATAATGGTCAACAAACCATGGACTCAGCTTCAAAGGCCAATAAACATCAAACTGCCACACCAGTTCCGAAGACCACTGTTAAACGTAGGCGTAAGGAGGCCATCACTAATGATGATACAATTCAAGAACCAACTTTGATTAATAAACTTCTAGAATTAAGCGATGATGATGATGATCTTTCAGAAGGTTGCTTTCACTTTATAATCATCATATTTTGACGTAATATCACTCAGATTATATATTCTTACCTTCCTCGCTTTATTTCTTTAGATGAAAGTCAGTTCAATGAAAGTGCCATAAATATCGGACGTGAACCTCTTGCACCGATTACAAATATCAACGATAAAATTCATAACGGCATACCGGATGAAAAGACTGAATCTTACGTGAACATTAATAAGATTCGTAGTGATGGTTCAAATGAGACATCTGAATCTTATTTTCGTTTAAGTTTGAATACTACACCTTGTTCTAATCGCCCTAATAACACATATTCCTCTTCTCGTACACGTAATATCGATAATGATGACGTTTTTCGTTCGAATACACCTCTTTCTAATACACCTTTTTTGAATACATCTCGTTCTAATACTTCTTTTTTTGCTAATGGTAACTAGATTCGTTCGACTCTTCGGAAATCATATAATCCAGAATCCGCACCTCCAGTACCATTTCGCGATATGGTGAACGTTCACCAAATCTGTTCGTGGTTATGTGTAAACTCGGACATTTTATTACTTGCTTATAATATGTATCTATCTATGCAAACGCCAGCTGCCAACACATTCAACATTATTTCACCCAACTTTAATTCATCAACGTTGGCATCTGGTGTACCACAAATGCCAAAGCAAGAAGACAGGGTAAATATAACTGATATAATTTGTCATTAATTTACTATGTTAATATCTGCTAAATTATTTGCATAATTCAGGTGAAAGCAAATCGAGATTTTCTCAAAGAATTGAAATGTTTGTTTCTTAGGGTTCGAAACCCTAAGAAGAGCGTTTTCGAGGATTTGGTACAGCAAATATTTAATTGCGATCTAAATTCGTCCGAAGGAATCGATTGGCTGCGTGCGGCGAATAGAAATTTTAGTGATTTCCGAAATAAATTCCTGGATAGTGTTGAGGAAGCGATTGAGATATTCAAAGAAAAAAGAGCTCTGTAAGCAGATCATTTCGTTTTAATTTTTTGTTTTATTTGTTTTGCGGTATATTGATTATTTTTACGTTGATTTATAGAGAAAATAAAGATACTACAGTTCGCTTTTTAGATGAATATGAAATAATTTTGTTTGTCAATGAAAATTTAACATTAGACATCTTGCAAAGATGGTTACTAAGTGCGACGAACATGACTAAATTGAGAGATCAAAACTCCTTACGGGTTTTACAAAGATTCGTCCGAGGATCATTATTAATTGTAAACTATGATTCAAGAGACACTGATGCAATGAAATCTTTGGATAAAATAACAAAAAAAATAGCGGTGCCATCTCGAAATGGTAAAAATATTGCCAGCAACTTGGAGTTGTGAATTTATTAGTAATAATAACTGAAGAAAATTTGCGCGAATTTTCCTTTGGGTTTCTTTTTTTTAAATTATGATTACAATGATAATATAATAATATTTGTAATATAAAACCCTTTTATTATTATAATTGGCAATTTATTATAATAGTTATTTTTTATAAGGTATATTTTACTATAATTAAACTAATAAAACTTTAAAATTTTACGATAATCTTAAAATCGCCTATTTATCATTAATTTGTTGTTAATGCATTGAAAAAAAATCGAAGAAATATCTTAAACTAGATTTTTTGGCTATTTTTTCGATTTCTTCACTACTTTTTAAAGATTAATACTGAATCTTGTTACGATTTCGAAAATATTTTTATTCGATTTTATAACGAAATCGTAACAAAACTTATCGTCACGTGATCGATCCAAAATTGATGTGGAATGTTGGCGATCACTTAACCGCATAGTAACAAATCACGGGTTTCTGCAATGAAATAACTTACATGCTTTATTATTAAATAATTGTTTAAATAAAGAATTTAGTTAATTCAAATTATATGCAATTATTACATAGTAGAATCAAATAAAGAATCAAATAAAAAACTAACACATTATATTATTAAATAATTTATTAAATAATGAATTTAATTAGTTCAAATTTAATAATATATAAATATGTACTAACAGCTAATAATAGAATTAAATAAATAATTTACCAACTATTATTATTAAAATAAAGAATTTAAGTTAGTTTAAATTATATTATATAAATATGTAATAATAGAATTAAATAAATAACTTACCATCTAATATAAATTAACAAATAATTTTTAAATAAAGAATTAATTAGTTTAAATTATATGTAAATATTATATAATAATAGAATTACTTACAATCTATATTAATAAATAATTTTTTAAACAAAGAATTTAGTTAGTTTAAATAATATACAGTATGTAGTAG